GGGAGATGTTTCTAGCGCTTCAGATCAGTTTCGTCTATTTCGCGCCGAAGGTGCAATATTCGGTTTGCAATCCGGCATCAGGTTACACTCGATTATATATTGTCTGAGGTTGTCAGTTCTAAAGAGGCTTCGGGCAACTACCCTCAGCATTCTAGACAGCATTTCATTTCGGCTGAGAACAGTGGTGCTGGGGTAGTAGTTTTGCAGTGTATCACTGTGACTCGGGCATTCCGCCATAACATGCAAGACCGTCAGAGTTACCAAACAATCATTGCAATACGGCATTGGACGGCGTTCGATCTNGAGAATACCTCAATAAGATCGATGAGGCTAATTACCCAACACCATCATGCCCTCTGTGTCAAAACCACACCCACAACACACAACATCTGTTTGGGTGTGCTGAAATTCCAACCAGCCTGCAGCCTGAAGATCTATGGAATAAGCCAGTGGAAGTGTCCCAACTGATCAGAGTGTGGCAAGACCGGCTCGGCGCTCCGGAGGGGGGTGGGCCTGGGCGGCACTCAGTCGAGTGACGTTGTGGTGATCATCATCATCATCTGAATAACACCACACGCGTATTCGTTTACTTGCTTTGTTGGAAGTGTATCGGTGGTCTCATTCAGGCCAACTCACACCTGGACATGGCATTAGTTTATGATTTTCCAACCACTTATAGGCTTAAATAGATCGTAGGAAGCTCTGCAACTATTTCATGTAAAAGTTGGGGAGAGGTTTCTAGCGCTTCAGATCATTTTTGTCTATTTCGCGCCGAAGGTGCAATATTCGGTTTGCAGGGGTCTCGGACAAATTTACGGCCGGACTTGCGGCCGAAAAGGTTTTCTTGTGTTTTTATGGGTTTTCCAGTTTTTTTTTTAATGGAACCTGTTCCTAACTGGACCTAACCTGCGAGGTTTTCGTTGATTGTCTAAGTATTCTATATGTTTGGAGTCCTACGGCCGCGAGACCGGCCGCGGGTCCGGCCGTAAATTTGTCCGAGCCGTTTTGCCAGGGTCAGGTTCTTCGTTGGTTTCAGGCCCGTAGCCTGATCCATCTGGTCTAGGGTGTATGCTTCTTTATTTCCAAGGCGCAGGTTTAATCCGTCTTCTGCTATTTCATCTCAACCAGTATTATGATGACACGAATATGACGTTTTGTCGGAGGTTTGGGTCTTTTCTGACATATGTCATGGTGCCATGTTTGATATCCGGCATCAGGTTACACTCGATTATATATTGTCTGAGGTTGTCAGTTCTAAAGAGGCTTCGGGCAACTTCCCTCAGCATTCCAGACAGCATTTCATTTGGGCTGAGAACAGTGGTGTTGGGGTAGTAGTTTTGCCGTGTATCACTGTGACTCGGGCATTCCGCCATAACATGCAAGACCGTCAGGGTTACCAAACAATCATTGCAATACGGCGTTGGACGGCGTTCGATCAGGTAGCTGTGAGTGAGGCGCATGTGGCCGATTCTTAGTCTGCACAGCGCTACCCACATCTTCCGGGATTTCTGGTATGATGAAATCCACGCTCGTACACAATCCTTAATTGTTCTTAGTTTGTTCTCTCTCACGTTCAGCCACTGCTCATGCCAGATAGGGCGGATGCTTGCGTTGATGATAGGGTAGTGGTCCCGGCAAGGGACCTGCTCGCTATGGATCGCCTGGTTCCGAAGAGGCGGCGTTTACCGCCGCCTCATCCGCCCTCTCGTTGCCTAGCACCCCCACGTATCCGGGCACCCAGCAGACGCTCACCGCTCTCCCCGCCCCCGCCAGGCGCACCAGCCCAGTTAGTATCTCCCAGACGATGAGGTGCTTGCTATTATAAGCTCTCAAAGCCTGCACCACACTTTTGGAGTCTACAAATATTGACCTCCGGGCCATTGATCTATGAGGCTAAAGGCCCGTTTCCACTACAGGACTGATTTTGAAGGATTGAGACTGGCCTGAGACCAATAAACCACATGGATGGGCTTGAAAACTGCGCACTGAAGCCCAGTCTGATACGGACCCATTAATACTGACACGTTGTCGCCTCCCTACTAGAAAATATCTGATCCATTTGAGTACATTACTCTCAATTGAGAGACTGACCGTCTGGGCTACCGCACTGGCTGGCCTTTGAAAATAGATTATGCTACCGCTCTTGCTTCTACTAGCTGTTGTCACTATGCGCAGGAGGAAACAAATATCTATTTACCTAATAGCAGTTATGAAATGCAAGAATGGTTTCAAACTTCTCATTAACATAGTTTATCCGTGGAATAACATGCATTCAACAAGGGATTAAGAAACAGCATTATCTTATGATACCTTTAATATGTCGGGGAAATTATATGTAATAAATTCGTCACAATGCTTAACCATGTCTGGTTTTTGGTCTATAGATTTAGATAGGTATCATAGCGTGCTTCACAAATGCTACTACTATTGTGTTTATTTACTATTTACTGAGTATACATACACTGTAAGAACAATAAGATAATTACGATTTTTTAATTGACGGACGAGTGAATCTGTGTCAATAAACAGATAAAATTGGTCAATGAGAAGTTAGGAAGTATTATTTCCATTTTTCGATGTTCGTGGATGGATATAATTTCTCCATTTCTTTACTTATTTACTCTAATTCTCAAGATTCTGTCTGTAAAAAAAGCTTTTTACTTGCCAGAAGCAAGGTGCCTCTCTATATAAATCGATAAGCCTTTCAGTGACATCTCTGCTCCAGTCTCCGTCGTGCGAAATGGTCAGTTAAGCAAAGAGGCAGGCAATGGTGAGTCTATTGGAGCGCCAGCCCAGCGCACAACCTCCTTGAACGAAAGTCTCAGCGACACTGCCGCTTGCCCGTGAAGCCCGTCACGGCGGTCACGCAAGTCCAGTAAAAGATTTAACAGCGCTTGACTCGCCGTCACTCAAGTCTCGATGGTCCGGACTGCCTCAGTCCGGAATGAAAAAGCCAGTTTTTCAATCGTCAGTCTCGCAGAGTCTCATAGTGGAAACGGGCCTTAAGAGAATAGCTGACACCGACGAGTTCAGCGGTGAAGATTGACGAGCTTGAATTGAGTCGTCTTGACACCGCCCATGCGCCGGCCGCAGCTGCACATAGTATAGTATCTTCGGCATTAAAGAATAGGCCTGGATAGGCCTGTCGCCGATTCTTGCACTTTCCTTGACTAGACTGGCCTTTTGATCAGATCTTTTCAACGGACGGTAGATTTAAAATCGCTTCTGGATATCAGTTGTTCCGTAGGGTACGAGGCATTTTAAGATTAAACATATGCTCATGCATGGCCTTGTCTAGTCTGTTCTTGAACGTTCATACTCGGAGCGTCAACAATATCTTCAGGGAGGCTGTTCCACATGTCAGTGACTCCAAGCGAGAAGAAATGTTGTCGCGTGGATAAGTTGCACCGCAGTTTTTTTAGTTTATAGCTGTGGCCCCTGGTGTTGGTTCTTGTTTCAAATTCTAGTAATCCTTCTGGGACCTTGTAAAAACCATGAGTATACTTGTATACGGTACTTCAATGAGGTCACCACGCAGGCGACGATACCGGAGACTGGGAAGCTTCATAATCTTCAATCTTTCTTCATAAGACTTGATAAGACAATCTTCACATCCCACTGTGCCGTTCGTCTTAGAGCCGTCGGTGTAAATATGAGTAGAGTTTGCATGCTTTGTAGATGCATGGTTGAGAAAGAGGTTTCTCATCTCAGTTGGGTGTGTCCTTTGCTTCAGTGGGTAGTTTTGGTCCGGGCAGAATGTGTTGATGGGGATGCACCATATAGGGGTATCCTCAAATATGACTGGTATAACTTCTAGTACATGAGCCTGTGTTGTTGCAAGAGTTGCAAGCAGTGTTTTATACTTTAGTTATAACGCTGCGCCATGTTGGGGATTGAAGTAATTGCTTGAGGCGGGATATCATCTGTAGAGTGAGCTGTATTCGGCGGAGATAGAGTGAAGGTTCACCGCTCTCTGCATATAATCTGAGGACAGGTGATGTTCTGAAGGCTCCGGTGCATTTTCGTATAGCTGAATTATGGACGGAGTCCAGTACAGATAGTGTTGCTTTATTGGCGTCAGAGCTGGGCAGCGCTACTTTGAAATGTAGCGCCGCTACCGCTACATGCTCTAAATGTAGCGGGCACTACCGCTACCGCTA